ATTAAACACCACCCACTTTGTCAACCAATAGGTCACAAATAAAGAAATAATTAGACCGTTTCTATAATTAAATTATAGTGACAATACAACATACCAGAATGTATGGTGAGAGAAATTTATAGCAGTGAATTCCCACATCAGAAAAACAGAGTAAGTACAAATAAACAACCTAATTTTGCACCTAAAACTATTAGAAAAAGAAGAGCAAGCAGATACAATGCAGTAAATTATAAAAATCAGAGCATAAAATAATGCAATTGAGACTAAGAAAGCAATACAAATAATCAATAATTCAAAGTCTGGTTCTTTGAAAGATTATTTGCAGTTGATATAATACTACATAGAAGCCCACCAAAATTTCATCTAAAGAAGTCCAGATTTAATAACCAAATTCAGTAGCATAGCTGAAAACAAAATCAACACTCCAAAATCAATAAATAGCTTTCCTGTACATAGATAACAAACTAACTGAGAGAAGCTAGGGAAATCACACTTTTCACGATACCATCAAAGAAAATAAAATACTTAGGAACCAATTTAAAAGAAGTAAAAAAAAAACTTTACATTGAAAACTACAGTATTGCTGGGGATTTAGCTCAGTGGCATAAATGGCTGCCTGGCAAGCACAATGTTGTGAGTTCAATCCCCAGGACGAAAAAAAAAAAAAGAAAAGAAAAAGAAAGAAAGAAAGAAAGAAAGAAAGAAAGAAAGAAAGAAAGAAACAGAAAGAAAGAAAGAAAGAAAGAAAGAAAGAAAGAAAGAAAGAAAGAAAAAGAAAGAGAAAAAGAAAACTACAATATTCTGAAAAAGAAAATTTTAAAGGACATCATAAAATGAAACAATAGAGATGCAGATATAGTTCAGTGGCACAGCACCTGCCTGGCAAGGACAAGGTCCTGAGTTTGATTCCTGACCAAAAAAAAAAAAGAGAGAGAGAAAGAGAATAGAAAATGAAAAGTTATCCATTATTCGTGGGTGGGAAGAACCAATAAAGTGAAAATGGCTATACTTCCAAAATTGTCATACATATTTAGTGTGATACCCATCAAAATAACAATATCGTACCTCATAGAAGTACAAAGTACAGTCCTAAAATTCATTTGGAACTGGAAGAGATCTATAATAGCAAAAGCAATTCTGGGCAATGAAGTCAAGGCAGGGACATCAAAATTTCTGACTTGAAATTATACAACAAAGTTGCCATGATAGAAGCAGCATTATGCCTAGAAAAAAAATACCTAATCATCATTGGAGAAGATAGCCTCTTTAACAAATGGTTCAGCAAAAGTTGGCTTTCTACATGCCAAAAATTAACTGTAGACCCATATATCTCACCATGAACTAAACCAAAATCAAAATGGATCAAAGATCTAAATATTAAAAGAGAAACACTAAATCTGTGGGAAATTAGAAAAGGTAGAACTCTTGGAGGCATAGGTATAAGCAAAGATTTTATCAATAAAACACTGATCATGTGGGAAATATTAAAAAGAATTAATTACTGGAATCTCACATTAAAATGCTTTTTCACAGCAAAGGAAATCATCAACAAAGTGCATAGATAATTCATAGAGTGAAGAAGTTTTTCAGCTGTTCCTCAGACAAAGGACTAATATCTAGAATAAAGAACTCAATAAATAGAAGTCATCAAGAAGCTATGACCTCCTGTGAGTTGGCGCCATTTGTAGACTATGGGAGAGAAAAACAAGAAGCTAAAACCTTCTGTGAGTAGGCAACATATACAGGCTGACTGGGGGGGAGCCAGACATCAACCCTTCCAGCACATGGGCAGGGAGACAGGAAAATTCAACATTCCCTCCCCTTCCCATTGCGAGTGACTGGCTTGTCCACGGAGACCGAAGGTGTGATGATAGTTAATGAGGTGAAATACAGCTTACTGATTGTAGTGTTTAGTGTTTTATTGACTTTGAAAGCCTGAAGCTGGTAGTGTGATCATCTGTTTGAAGGATGGTGGTGTGCAGTGTAGCATCTATGGGGGATTTCCTTCTGAAGAAGGCAAACATTGTTAATTCCCTATTATCTTGTTTCAAAGTCCTGTATCGTTTTCATTGCTTTGTTTGGTTGGATTTTATTCTGCTTTATCTTGTTTAATTTTATTATATCTGATGGCATGGGCAGCTATTTCAAAGATAACAGGATATATTATGGTAGCCATTTTGGATTTACTATTATCTTATTTTGAAGTCCTGTATTTCATTCATTGTTTTGTTTAATTGGTTCTATTATGTTCTGTTTTGTTTGATTTTACTGTGTCTGAAGGTATGGGCAGCTATTCTAAAGACAATAAGAAGCATTATGAGTAATCATTGTTGATTTCCTATTATCTTGTTTTGAACTCATGTGTCACTTATACTGTTTTGTTTTGATTGGCATTACTCTGCTTTATTTTCCTTCATTTTATTCTCTTTAAAATAAAATTTTTTAAAAGTTAAAAGAACTCAATAAAATAAGACTTCTGCAATTTAAAGACCAAATCCAAAAATAGGAATCTGAAATGAATACACAATTCTCAGTTGAAGAAGTAAAAGTATTTTTATGCAAATAAATGCATAAAAAATATTCATCACTGGTCACTCAAGAAATGCAAATTAAAACTATGCCTACAGTCCATCTTACCCCATAAGGAAATCAACGAATAGCAACTGCTGATGATGCTACTGGGAATATGGAACCCTTGTTCACTTTTGAAGAGAATGTAGGTTGGTGTGACCACTGTGGAAATGAATGTGGAGATCTCTCAAAAAAACTAAAACTAGAAGTTCCATTTGATCAAGACATTCCACTTCTAGGTATATTCCAGAAAGAATCATATCACAGAAATATATGCACATGTATATCTATAGAAAAATTTGCAATAGCTAAATCTTAGAAACAGCCCACATATCCATCAGTGGATGAATGAACGGATAAAGAAGATGAGCTTTTTTATACAATCAAATACTACTCTTCCATAAATAAGAGATAAACTTGAGACATTTCTAGGCAAATGGATGGACCTTGAGACCATACTCTTAAGTAAAATAAATTGGACATACATGCTTAAATATCACATTGTTTCTCTTGTGTGAGAAACCTAAAGGGTAAATAAGGACAAAAATGTATGACGTATAATGGAAAATAGGAAGAAAATGTTCAAGTGGGAAGAGGAACTAGGGAGACAAGAAGGAAAAAGGAACACAAAAGGAAAAAGAGAATAGCAGGAAAATTGGGGGGAAAGCCATTTTAAGTAAGGAGAAGAAGATGGATTGCAAGTAGAGGAGAGAATTGGGGGGGAAAAAGAATCAAGATATATTATGCACAAAGGCAAATTCCATATGAAGAATGTAATCCGTGTGTGTGTGTGTGTGTGTGTGTGTGTGTGTGTGTGTGTGTGGTATAAAATTGATTATAAAAATTAAAAGAATTTTTTAAAGAAAGAGTAAAAGAAGAACAGGCACGGAGTATTTCAGACCATGTGAAATTCCTGGTATCTTCAATGTCATGGAGGAAACCTTCAAGTAATTGAGGTTTTGTAATAAACAAGTGGGGAAAGGAGTTGGTAACATCTAAGTTTTTCTTGCTTATGTGACCTTTTCTTGCCCATGGGTTAGTGAGACCTAGAAAAACTTGAAACATCATTTTCCAGCAGATAAATTTACCTCAAGTTCTTGTGTATGTGATAGGTCAAGTCCACCTACATGCTGAGTAGCTCTTGAAGCATTTCTAAATATAACCTTTAGGTGGATAGATTAGGGACTGTCTTCTGACCAGATATAGTTGGACCTCATTTATTCCATTTACCTCTAGTAATGCTAGTTTGCAGGAGAGGCGGAGCAAAACCAAAAAGGAAGATGAATGACAGGTGAAAAAAATAAAATAATTGTTATTTTTCTTTATTATCATGGCTACAAGAAAATTAATTTCATTTTTAATATTCTTCCTTTCTGTATACATTTTATAAACATGAGCTGTGGTTTCTGTTATCAACAATTTCTTTTTCAGTAGAGCAAACTAGACAGTGTTTTCCTGTACTAAGAGCAATGCTAGCAGTACATGGAAGGTCACACTCCATTTGGGTCTGGGCTTAGTCAGATGTAAACCAATAGGCACCAAGAAAAGGAAGAAACCATGGGTCCCAGGCCAGTTGTTAGCCCCACCTAAAATTTGTGCTGCCCAATTCATCTTGCCCTCTTTTTCCTGAGTCAACAGCATCGGTGATTGAAGCAACTGCAGGAACCCCCAGATTGTCATATACAGTACCACAAAGCTGCCAATTTTTCTGTCAATCTTTGTTTTCCTGAAGGATAAATTTTCTTTTCCTAGCATCCCACCTAATGTTTAGGGTAGTGGAGCAGTATAATTGAGTCTCCAGAGGGGGTTTGGGCTCTGCCCCTGTACTTTCACCTCATTGCCACTGCCCTAGATTGTATCATCTGGCCAGCCAGCCATCCAGGCTTGTAATAGGGATTCAGTTATGTCTAATCTCTTCCTTAATCCTACTTCCAAACTATTGCCAAGTTTGCTTTCTAAAATGTTTCCAATTATGTCACTTCCACTGTCTTCTATAAGATATCCAAGGGACCCAATTACATGTACTATTGTTGAATAAATAAATCAGTATTTATACCAAATTTCCTATTATCATGCTTTCTTCACAACAATTTCATCTGATTTAAGTATGTTTTGCTGATTTTCCATCTTCCCCCCTTAATTTGGATGGAATTTTTGTATAAGCAAGGATCTTATATGTCTGTCTCCCAAACAGAGGCTTACACATGTTAGATAATTAATGTTAGATGAATGGACTCAATAAATCAAATTCTAATAGTTGTGATTAATTCTTTTTTATAAATGATTTTTATTTATTTTTATGTTTACAAATGTAATATATGTTTACTGTAGAGAAACTGGAATACAGAGAAATAGAAAGAAAATTCAAAAAAATACCCATAATTCCACCACCTGAAAGTAAACACTGAGCAGTGAGCATATTATGCTCTATCTATGCCAGCTTAGAGATCAAGACTTTTATAAACAGTGATGGCCACAAAGCACAACAGCCAAAGTGAATGAGGGCAATTAACAGCTGAGGCACCACTCGGAGATCAGAGCTAAAGATTCCACACTGAAGGACAAGACAAGGGCCATAAACAATCCATCAAGAGAACAGAAGCTAACACAGGAAAAAGTTAGGTCACTCTAACAGTGTAATGAGATGGTGCTTGTCAGGAGTTTATCCCAGCACCTGTTACATGGTACATTATCAATAACTGTTAGTCATTACTATTACTAGTAGTAGTAGTACTAGTATTGGTCAAGGCAAATGATTCAAAGTGGTAACTATAAACCAAGAAAGGACCCTGAAGACACATTTTAGGTGCAATAAGGAGGGGCACATAGAAGCAAATCCACTGGTTTTAAAAGGTGATATACGAGTGGGTATCTCTATCTTTATAGGCTCTCCTTGCAGGTGGAGTGAGACAAGAGTTTTCTCAAGTTTGCCTGATGACACATGGCAAGACACATGGCAAGTGTTTGTGAGGTAGGAAATGATTTCTCCTGCCTGGACTTCTTCCAACAACTAGGACTAGCCTTGATGATGATGGATGTTTAGAAGCTTACACACCATACACTATTACAGTTCACACTCTGATTGTTGGAGCAAGTCACAGGCAAGTGCATGAAAGACAAGGTCCAGGCAGCCAAGTGGGAGGTAAGGTGAGATGTGCCTGGATAGGAAGGTGGGTGGGTAAAAGCAATGAGGTTTATGATGTAGTTGAATGATATGGATCCTGGAACCAGTCTTCAAGTTAGCAGCCAAGCCAGATATCATAGGAGAGGAATCCAGGGAACATTACTCGTTGGTGGAAGTCTTCTGATGGCCTGTGCTCTGTTGAAGGTGGTCACGAAGACCCTTTTGAGGATCTCCATGCTCTTTCAGGTAGTAACAGCGTTTGGAAACATGTTGGTGCTGGGGCTAAGAGAAAACACCAGAGGTAAGAGCCATACTTCCTATGAAAAAGGACATTCTACCTGGTTAAATTCAGCCAGAGATCTTACCTAATTTACTTGGTAAGCATGACCAAGGATAACCAAATTCCCTAGTGGCCTGAGCCCACAATATATATGGCTGTAGCTAAGATCTACTTCTAACAAAGTGATGGCAAACTTTTTAGAGCTTTCAGTGACAACAGCCAGTTGTGGCATGCATGCCACTGGTTCACCAGCACCACTTTTAAAAGAAGACACCCCCTCCCTTAGATTTGGATCGACTTGGAGTAAGTAAAGAGATGGGTTTGAGTCCAGACTAGCACCCTTATAATCAGAAGATTTACTACTGTACCCAGCAAAGGCCTCAGTACCTGGGGTTGGATGCTATGCCTGAAAATATCTAATACATCCTAACTAACTGCATATTCATGCTCACTGATAAAACTTTGAGTAGAAGTAGAAGACAAATGTATGGTCTTGGGATACAATACCTCCCTCTTGCCTCTTCCTTAATTCCACTCAAAAGAGCAAAGTGTATTTCCCATCATTACCTCCTTATTTTTCACTTCAAAGACATTGAATCTATTTCCCCATCATTACCTCCTCAGTCTGCTGCTGAGAGCTCTGTTCATTCTCCATGGCCTCCTCATTATTCCGCTTACAGGCTGTCGGCAGAACCTGGCTTGGTTTGCCCAAGGAGCCCTTTTCCTCTGCCAGCTGGCACTCTATGTAGAGAGATCTGTCTATCAGTTCTTTTAGGCTACCAGCCACCTTCAGGAAGATCTGACCCATTTTTGTGGTAACAGCTTCTGAAAGTCCTTCCAGAAACCTAGCCTGTAGAATGGCGTCAGACCAAGACACATTTCGGGCCAACAACAGGAAGTCAGTGGCATACTGCCTGACTGACTTCTGGCCCTGCTTGGGATGACAAAGAACGGCACTGAGGATGTCTATCTCAGACAGGGAGTCATATAAGCCTTGTGCTCTGCTCAGGAATGATTTATTTTCATCTGAGGTGTTTCCTACCTCCATCTGCAAGATGGACCACCTCTCTGCTGCACCCAGATGAAGAGACACCAGAAATGCCATTTTCTCTGAATCGTCCAAAAACCTCCTCATTTGTTTTTCCTCGTCAATATCCTTCTCCTCCTCCACTGAGCATGAACCTCGGATTGCTTCCTGCTCCTCTAAGAGGTAACAAAGTCCTGGAGTCAACATTCCAAAGGATGGCACTTTCTCTGGTGGTGGGTTTGTTGTTTCAGGGGTTCTGCCAGTCATGCGTGGTATTGCCCTAGATTCAGAGGCTGTGATGTTGGTATGTGAGGTAGATGCCTCTCCAGAGTCTGTCGCTTTGATTTCCAGAGTGGACATCGCTCCAAAGGCTGTTCGTGGTATTGTCATTACTCCAGGGTCTGGAGCCCTCATGAGTGATGTAGACATCACTCCAGGTTCCGTAGCTGTCATCTGTGGTGTGGATATGCCTCTAGAGTCTGTGAATCTCATTAGTTGTGTAGACATTGTTCCAGAAGCTGGTACTGTCATGGGTGACTTAGCTATTCCTCCAGAAGCTCTGTCCTTCATTTGTGGCAAGGCCATAGATCTGGAGCTTTTGACTTTGGTTTTTAGTGTTGGCATTGCTCCAGAAGCCATGGTTTTCATTAAAGGCTTAGACATTTCTCCAGAATCAATGGCCGACTTCAAAGGCATGGGCATTATTCCAGAGGGCATGGGTCTCGTTATTGGGTTGGATATCTCTTCAGAGGCCATGGCTGTCATTTGTGCAGTAGGCATCTTTCCAGTGGCTGGAGCGTTCATTAACTCTGCTGACACAGCTCCAGAGGCTGAGAATCTCCCTAGTGGTGTGAACATAGTTCCGGAGGCTGGTGCACTAACTTGTGGTAGGGGTGTCATTCCAGAGCCTGGTACTCTCATTGGGAGTATGTGCATGTCTCCAGAAGCTGTAGGTACCATTTGTAGTGTGGAAGAAGTGCTAGAGACCGGGATTCCCATTACTGGCAAAGATATCCCTCCAGAAGCTGTGGATGACTCTTGAGACATGAACATCCCTCCAGATGCTGTAAATCTCGTTATTGGTGTGGATGTTGCTCCAGAGACTGAAGGCTTCATCTGTGGCATGGATATCACTCCAGAGGCTGTGGTTGTCATTTGTGGAACAGATATTGTTTCATAAGCTGAGGCTCTTGGAGGTGTCACTATTTCTGTAGAAGCCAGGGCTCTCAAGGGAAGAGAACTCTCTCCAGAGGATGAGACTCTTGTGAGCAATGTGGAAAATTCTCCGGACTCTGAGGCTCTCTGTGGTGGTGTGGGCACCAATCCAGAGGCACAGGATCTCATCTGTACCCCTCCAGAGATCATGGATCTCGTGAGTGATGTGGGTATCTCTCCAGAATCTTGGGTGTTCCCATAGCCTGTGGCTCTTGTTAGTGATGTGGACATTCCTACAGGGCCTGGGGCTCTCAGAAGAGGCATGGACATAGCTCCAGATGCTGTGGCAGTTATTTGTGATGTCGACAATGCCCCAGAGTCTGTGGCTCTCATTAGCAGTGTGGACATCCCTTCTGAGGCTATGTCTGTCATTTGTGGCAAGGACAGAGCTCCAGACGTTGTGTCCCTCATTAGCAAAGAAGACATTTCTCTAGAAGCTGCAGTTGTCATCTGCTGCATAAACATTGTTTCAGAAGGTTTGGATATCATTAGTGGCTTGGGCAATGCTCCAGAAGCTGGAGCTCTCATTTGTGGCACGGACATCTCTCCCAAGGCTGTGTCTCCCATTAACAGTGGGGACACTGATTCAGAGGCTTTGCATGTTTTTACTGGAATGGACATTGATCCAGAGGCTGTGGCTCTTATTTGTTGTGAAGATGTTAGTCCTAAGGCTGTAGTTCTCATCTGTGACATGGATATTGCCCCAGAGAAGGAGGCTCTGGTTTGCTGTGTGGACACTGACCCAGAGGTTATGACTACTGGTTGTAGCACAGACATTGTTTCAGATGTTGTGGTTGCAACTGGGTGTGTGGATATCACTCCAGAGTCTAGGGCTTTCATTTTCTGTGTGGACATTTCTCCACTGGCTGTGGCTGTCATAAAACCTGTGGGCATTGCTCCAGAAGTTTCAGTCATAGACTGTGTTGACACAACTCTAGAAGCTGTGGCTGACATTTTCTCAGTGAACATCATTCCAGAGCTTGTGGCTGTCATTAGTGGTATGGACATTGTTCCAGAGGCTGGGGCCATATTTTGCACTGTGGACATATTGCTAGAGGGCAGTGTTCTCAGCAGTGGTGTAGACATTATTTCTGCATCTGAAGCTGTCATTGGCAGTGTGGACATCACTGCAGGGACTGTTGCTCTCATTGGCAGAGTAGACATGATTTCAGAGTCTAGATTTTGTGTTAGCTGTGGAGACATTCCTCCAGAGCTTGGGGCTGTCATCAGTTGGCTATGCATTTCTGCAGAGGTTAGGGCTAACACTGCCTCAGTATCTGGGGTTGGATTTGGCAATGTGGACATGTCTCCAGCATCTGGTATGGAAAACAGTGGTGAGGACACTGTTTCTGAGGCTGAAGCTGACATTAGCAGTGAAGACATGATTCCAGAGTCTAAACCTGACATGAATGAGTTAGACATTCCCTCACAGTCTTCCATGTTTGCTGACTGGGTTAATGTTTCTCCAGAAGCTAAGGCTGACATTATCAGTGAGGATATTGCTTCAGAGTCTGTGTCTGACATGAGCAGTGAAGATATCTCTCCAGAGGCTATGGCAGTCATTAGCACTTTGGACATTGCTTCAGTGTCTTCATCTGTAATTTGCAATGGGGACATTGCTTCAGAGACTGGAGCTGCTGTTGACTGTGTGGATATAACTTCAGGATTTATAGTTGAAGTTGGGAGTGGGCATATCTCTCCAGGATCTGGGGCAAGCATTAATGGTGTGGACATTGTTTCAGAGGATGAGGTGCTCATGATAGGTATAGACATTTCATCAGATGATGAAGTTGTAACTGCCAGTGGTGATATCTCTGCATAATCTGTGGACATTAGTGATGTTGACATTGTCCCAATGTCAGGAACTGTAGACATTCCTGGAGACAATAATCCATAGTCTGAAATGGACAACAGTGGGGACAATGCTCCAGAGTCTGAGGCAGGCATTAGCACTGGGGACAGTGCCTCAGAATCCAAGGCTGGCATTAGCAATGGGGACAATGGCCCAGAATCTGAGGCTGGCATTAGCAGTGGAGACAGTGTTACAGAGTCTGAGATTGGCACTGGTGGTGGGGATGAGGCTCCAGAGTTTGGTGCTCTCGTTAGAAGTGTAGACATTGTATCAAAGCTTGGAGATATCTGTGTAGATGTCCCTCCAGTATCTGAGGTTGAAGTTGAAACTATAGACAACTGTACATGAGACGGCAGAATCTGGACCTCTGCTCTGTTCTCTGTCATTGGCCTAGAGAAGGATGTCCCCATGTTTTGGGGGTCTACATTTTCCTCCCTCAGCATGTTGTTGAACTGCAGTGAATGTTGAACTGCCATGGCTTCAGGATAGGATACAGGAAGCCTCTAAAGCGATGACATCAGGGATCCTGCTGCAGCTTCAGTGGCAAGAAAATCTGTAAACAGGAAACAAGTTTAGAGGTCAAGAGCCAGTATTAAGAAGACTGAGAAACAAACACATGGTTCACAAGGGAGACCTGCTTTCTGTGTGTTGTCAAGTGTAGGGCAAGATGGACATGCCAGGTTAAATAAACTGCACAACAACGAATAACTGAAGTTGGAGCAAATAGTCCTTTTGATTGTCCTTTTCAAACCAACCTATCCAGTTACACGGCACTACTTCCATTTGTAAATGCCAGCGACAGCTAAGAGCCAAATCGGGCCCAGATCAAATGAGGTGGCACCACCACCTACTGGCCAGTTGTGAGAAGTGCAGGCTGCTAAACTACAGTCTGTCCTACAGTAGGATTTAAATTACTCAATGTACTAGCGGAATTGGAATGAAAAGCCCTTTGCAACTGGATGACTCTTGGTTTCTGGGACTCATTGTACTATGCCAGTGGCTTAATCTTCATTTTAGTATTCTGCTGGCCCTGACGGTCCTTTTGAGGAAAGCAAGGCATTTATCCGATCAATGATGGGGAACAGCATGCCACAAACTAAAATTCTGCTTATCATCATCATCATTATTCTTAATAACAACTATCACTATAACTACTGTTGAATGCTTACTTAGTATTGCATAGCACTGTGTTTCAGGTAACTGTGCACACCTTTAAACTGTCTGTAATTTGCCAAAATTTGCAAGGATTATCTTATTTATTCTTATAATGTCCTATGCAATATTGTTACTTCCATGTAACCAGCTTTCTCAGATAAGCTAGGATTAGGAACTAAGAGTCACTATGACAGTTAAAGACTGTATATCTTTGATTCTCCCTTCTAACTTGGGGTTGCCTAGCCTTTGGCATCCCTAAGGCTGCATTCAATTCGTTTTAGGACATCCTAAATTAGGGCTCGTGAGAAGCCTAGCCTATAGCACAAAAAAATTTAATTCTCTGGTGATATGGGAATGGATAATCCCAGAGCATCACTTCACTAGTCCACCCAATAAGCAGCCCTAGAGATGGCCCTTTGACATACAACTTGGAAACCAATGCAGATATTAAACAAGATTGACATGTCCTCATAAATTAAGCACATCAAAAAATGGAAGACAGGCTACTATGTGTTAATCTCACAAAAGTCATCAATCCTATGGTACTGTTCACCTATAATAATGAAAAAATTAGAAGCCATTTCTTGAGCATGCATTGCATGGCAAGCGCTCTGGTAAGCACTTTCCTTTCGTAACCTTATTTGGTCCCAGAAACACTAAGAGATTTGAGTAGCACTCTTTGTCCATCTGGTAAAGGAGAAAATTCAGGCCTAGAGATGCTTAATAAATTTTCTGCAGCCACATAGTTTCTCAGATCTACACAACTCCACAGCCCCTTACTCTTCATCACTATGCTATCAAAATCTACCTTTTGCCTTCACTTAGCCACATTACCAAGACCCTTCCCTCTATCTCCAGCCAGGACAACCCAAAGATGGAATGTTGTAGAAATATGCTGGCCCCCTACAGACACTTTGGTCACCCTAATATTTGGTGCAATGGGAAATATGAGTCAAATGAGCAATTATAAACCTCCATCTTCAGAAAAATCCCTAAGCATACCACAGCTTCCCACAGAGAAAATTCAGAAAGATCTTACCTGGTCGGTTACTGAGAAGAGGGATAGAGTGCCCTCTGCATCCCTAGCTCTTTTAGTCTGGCTAATTGACATCCCTTGTTCTGTTTCATTAAAGCAAAAACCAATATCAGCAGCTGTTCTCTGCCATGTCCCTCTTACCCGACCACCAGCATACCTACCCTACTCTTCCTGAATTGCTAGTGCTTTCTCTGGATCTCTGGTCCATGACTCCTGCCTCTACATTGGTTCTGACATTTGCCTCCAGCAATCTTTCACTTGGCATCCTCCAGAAACTCCACTTTGTTCTTGGCCTATGCAACTCTCCTTTTCTTCTCCAGTCCCTTAGTAGTCCCATTAGCTTACATCTCATGCCATTGCCCACCCCAAAGAGAAAATACTGACAAAGTTAAAGAGATGAGAATGAAAGGGTCCTCACCCAAGAAATGAGACATATATCCTCTGAAGAAAATCAAACACAAGAGCCCTGAGAGCAGGACACTGTGATTGATATGACCAGGAAGCTGAGACTAGGCGTTAGAGGCAAAGGAACTGGGGCTGGGAACTGAAAATCTCAAAGAAGCTTAGGTGCAAGGCAATCAGAGTGAGAGGATGGGCAATGGGAGCTGAGTAATAAACACTTGAATAAATCCCTGCAGTAGTGGTAAAAATACAATCTGACCTCATTGTCAGAGACCAAGAAGGAAATTTGACAACCAATGTCCTGCCCCAGGGCTGATTCAATCATGTATCTCTGTGGATTTCAGACAGCTAGAAAGAAAACTTCATGCCAGTCATACCAAGTGAGAACTCATCTAGAAATGGAGCTACATCGTGTTTTCTAGAACCAGGGCACAAGGTCAGAGTAGAAATAGCACTCAGCCTAGTGGCAACATTGGTCCCTGAGCTCTAAATAGTGCAAAGTCTTCAGGTGAAGCTCAAGTAGCCCATGTATACAGAATGAGATTTGGGAATGGAAGCATTCAGGTCATTATATACATCAAAAGTAACAAACAACTGTAATTCATAATTAGCCACCAACCATAACGGAACATGTAGTCTAAGCACCAGACATTCATTATATCACTCCACCGGCACCTGGAAGGTGGACACTGACATCACTTCCATTTTACAAATAAAGAAGAGAGCTTAGCAAAGTTTATGGGACCAAGGACACGGAACAAAGAAATGGCAAGGCCCAGATTTGTGCCTTGACAACTCCACTTTCAAACTCATTTTCTCTTTTTGTAATTACATAGGTAATGAGAAACTCTACACAATCTACTCACTTCTGCATGCCCCATCCCACCAAGCAAGGGAATTTCTCTCTCATTACAAAGGGCTGAACCATAGTAGTAGTAGTAGTAGAGTAGTAGTGGTAGTCATTGTCATTGTCATCATCGTTGTAGTAGTAGTAATACAAGCTAACCTCGATTATGCTTTCAGCATATATCCAGAATGATGTGCTAAGGACTTCTTAAGCATTATCTCATTTGCTCCTTATAATTATCATTCATGCTAGACCTTTTTTTTTTTAATTTCAAGTTTAAGGGAGCTGAGTCTCAACAAGGTGAACTAAAATGACCAAAATCACACAGCTCTGCCTGATTCCAGATTACACTACACAATATACTAGTCAAAAGGAAGCATTCCAAAGCTAGGAACATAGGTCAGCACTTGTTTAGCATACACAAGGCCTGTGTTCTAGCCCCAATGCCATAAAATGTAACATTCCAGTTACTTTCCTCACAGAAAATTCATGCTACTAATGGGTTCATAACAACTACTACAAATCTTACTAAACACCTAGTAATTAAAGCTATTGCTTATGATGTGAGACTCTATGCTAAGTGCTTTATTTCCAGTATCTTGCTTAATATTCACAACATCCCTCTGAGGTAATTGCTACTATAACCTTCGTTTTTCAGATAAAAACTAGAAGCATAGAAAGGTTACCTAGCTTTCCTAATGTCACAGTTACACAGCAAAGCCATCTATAATAATAAAATATTGGAAACCTAAATGCTTGGTGTTAGAATACAATTTGTTTCATGGTTAAAATAAATCCTGGTGCAAATATAGCAGCCACTAACATAGCCATTGTGGATTATATTTTAGTCTGGACATAATTATCAGTTTTCTTATAAAATAAATGTGTACATTTTGCAAGGGGCTAATAAAGTATGTTGTTCACAGCAGCCATACCTGAATGGTGGAAGTAGAGGGGATTTTCATTTGATTTCCTTTTTGTACATTTTCTCATTTGTCTCTAATGGACACATCACATTTTCATAAAAAAATAATAAAATTTAAATTTCTTTTTTAGAAAGCATGATTTTTGATGGCTCTATCTCTAACTTTTTCCACTGCCTTCCTAAAAGATCTCTCTAGGAATCTCCAGCATACCCCCATCCAAGCCACAGGCTTCATGGTTCCACCATTTGCATCTTACATCAGAAGTGACTTCAAAAAAGGGTTACTAGTGCTTACATTAACTTTGTTCTTGTTTTGCTTGTTTAAAAATGTTTTCTTATTTTTTCCTAACTTTTTTGTGCTTAGTAACTGCACAAGTAATCTAGAAATTTATTATCAGGATAAAAAAAATCTTGAAATCCTCCATACAGATAAAACTAAAATCCTGAGACTATCCCATCACCCTGCCCACAAGTCCTATTCCTCTGTCTGTTCACGCTTGGGTGTGTCTCCAAATTTTTCCTAGATGCAGTAGCGTTCAGAGTTTATATCATGCAACTGCTTGAAAAATTCAGTGCAAAACTATAATTATAAAACCATGTTGGCACTGATTGCTCCAGGATCCCAAGCTCTGGTCCACCATGACTATTTCCATCAGCCTGCTTTAAGTGGGTTACTGAAAGAGGGCACTTACCCGCTACCTCTATGTAAGCATAGATTTCTGTTTTATTAGAGCTAGACTCAAGAAACACAAGAGAAAGATCTTCTAAGTGAAAAAAAAAAAAAAAAAAACAGGAACTGCTGCTTAGGATCTCTGAGGAGCCTCACATCCCGCCCAGTCTGCTGATCAATGCAGCTAGGAAGTATTATACTCCTGCTGTTTCACAAAAGATAATTGAGCTTGGAGGACGTATGGCTAGCTGTTTGGGGAAATAAGAATAAACAAGAGACTACTCAATATGTCAACAAATACCTTCTGGCTTTTGAAAATGAGCTTTTCCCTAGATTCTTAACAATATGTTCTCCTAGAGCCCTAGCAAACAGGAGCCCAGATAACTGAAAACAGACAGCCTAAGGATCAAACAATCCCGGCACTATTTTGAGTTCTCTGCTTGCCCAAATCCTTCAGAGAAAACAAAACCTTCCTTTCCCACTTTCGTGTTCCTCAACAGCACTGACACTGG